TAGAAGGCTTCTATTATGTTATTGAAAGAAGTCTGTACATCTGTAGTACCCTGTTTATATTTTGATGCTTTTTCTGCACTGAAGTTTATATGAAGATTTATTTTTATCTTAGGCTTAAACTCACTGCATTGACACTGATGGAGTGAAGCAACAGTCCACTGCATTAATTTCAATTATATATTCATAGCATTGATCATGTGAATTACTAAGGAGGTAAATTAGGTACATACATAGACAAGAATCAGTACTGTTAGCATTTTCTGGTGCAATAGAGAAGCAGAATATAAGAAAAAGGAAAAGTGGCCTTTCTATTTACAGAATGTGAGGAAGACCCCCCCAAAAAACAAGGAATTTTTTTTTTAATCTATGGGGTTAGGGGTATATGTGAATTTTGCCTGGATGTGGAGATTGAAGCAGACATTTCTGTAGTGTGAGAAGCTGATTGCACTTTTCTTCAGGCCCCTGGGAATGGAATGAGGAAGTTGTAATCAGGGAAAAAGAGGAAGTGGCCATATGGTTAGCATCCCTGATTGGGCCTTCCACCATGTTCAACTACAACCAGGAGGTCCTGTAACTCATTCTAGGGCAAAACTCTTTGAAGTACATCCCTCAGTTTGAATGACAAAACAAAAATAAAGAAGTTTTGCTATGTGTCTTCCTCCAAAGCTGGTGGTAACCATTCACAAGAAATATTTTGAGTCATATCCTTAATAAATTATATACCATAACTAAAATTACAGATCAGCTCACTTTCAGAAAACAGAAGCAGCACTTAAATGCAGGCATAAAGGCTTTCAATGAGAGTACCCTGAAGAGGTGAGATCAGCTTTATAGAACACAAACTACTACTCATTTATCTGAGTTCACTAAAGATAAAAATTTATAATGGTATTGCTACAGGGGAAAGAAACTCCTGATCTACTATGTCTGGTGTGAGTTTGTGCTCTCTAAAATTAAAGCATAAATCTTAGGAGCAACAGAATTTAAGAGTAGAATATATTTATTGGGAGAAAGAAAGCTGTCTGAGAGAGAGAAGAGGTCCTGAGTAGATTGCCAAAGACTGTCTTTTCTAGGGACTTCTATAGAGTAAAATCATTTTGTGAGATGGATTTAAGGTGGGAGCTCACAAGGCAGATATGCATAAGATGGGACAGAAATATGGGAGCCAATAAAATTAATAGTTCAGGTAAAAGTGATTAAATTGGGATCAAATGGGGAAGCCTGTCACACAGAAAGTAGGCATTTTTTGCAGTAGTGACTCTTCAATTAAGGGGTTCAGAAGGTGACTCATGACTTTACTAGGATGATAAGAATTATTTGGAATAACAGGCTTTAGTTGAATGGTAACTGCTGACTTCTTCAGAGTGCTAAAGAACCATTTCAAATATCAATCCTTACAATATGAATACATTTGCTTAATCTTTTGTCCTGAAGTCTGACGCTTAGCAGGAAGTGTCTGCCTTCCCTATAGTTGAAGGTATCCGGGATTCTGCATGGGATCCTTGGATAACCTAGCCCTGTCTCACTGCCAACATTATTTGACTAACTCAGCTGCCCACTAGAGTATTGTTTGGAAAGTTGAATACAAATGTCTTGTGCTCTGGGTAAATGATATGGGGATGACAGTATGCAAAGTATTTACCATTGTTGTCCCCTGATTGACATGTTTTGAAATTTAGTTTTAGTTTATTTTTATCCTTGAAATCAAATGGAATTGGAAATAAAAAGCCTGAGGTAAATCTCTTTGGTACAAGCACTCCTCTGTGGATATCAGCACTGTAGAAGACATTCAGCTCCAGAAGTCTGCATTACAGTCTATCATTTGGGATCCACACTTGCAGGGAGGGGTTCCTTTCCCTGTTTATTCTTGATTCAGGAGGAGAGCAATAGAGAAAGACTGAATCACTGATGAAGAGGTGGGCTGTATGAACTGTCCAAGCAGGTGGGCCACAGCAGGCGGTCTCTTAGGTCTTCCTATCTGGGCATTATTGACCTGTTGTGAGCACAGTACTGGAGCAGAATGTTTGCTGGATCTCATTTAGTGGTTTCAATGTCATGTGGCCTGGTTAGGAAAGAACCTGGGAGATCTTCAAGCCACAGAATGCTGAGGTTGTGGGTGGGAGCCCAGAAATAGGGTGCAAATGGGCTAAACCAGTTACAACTGGTTAGAAACAGATCTGGTGTCTCAATCTTCAGGTATTTAGTTAGCTTCAGCTACTGAAGTCCTCCAGCATTGGCTGTGGGTCATCCATTGTGCATTTTGCCTCTTTCTGCTGGCAAGAGTGACACTATCTTCAGTTTGACAGCCGCAGATTCCAATATCATCTTTGAAATTTTCTGCTGCCTTGGCAACTCCACAAGCTCAGTGAGGGAAGGAGCTTGCGGACACCCTGACTCTGATGCATTTTGTAGCTGCTGCAAAAGTACGGAGGAAGGTCTCTGCTCTCATTGCTGTGAGAAGCAGACCTGGAGGATCTGATGTCTATAAATGTCTGTGATACAGGGTCTCATAGCCCCAACTGCTCTCCTTAAACTTGTGGGGTTTTTTTCTTGTATTTAGAGTGATCTCCTAAATTTATAGTATGTTCTTTTATTTCCATCCTCATGACAGGTGTTGGCAAAGGTACTGAGTATTTGAAGATGTGTATTGATATGCCTCAGTTGAGGAAGGCTTCTCAAACACCTGGTGAAATCCTGTGCATCACAGAGAACAATGCAAAAGAATTTTGAACATAATTATTTAGGTGACACCTCTGCTCACAGACTGTTTGTGAGAACAGCCATGGATTTTTGAATTCTGAGAAAAATGAAGCATATATGAAAGTGTTATCAAGGGCAGGGTAAAGTGTGCTTGCTAAGGACAAATTCCAGAATCACCTGCCTGTTAAACCCTCATTGACAAATGCCAAAATTTATGCATTTGCATGGACTCATACACATGATATCCTTCTGAATGGAAAGGAATAGGCGTGTCGTCTCTGAATTAACAGCTGATTTAACAGCTTGACTGCTAATATACATTGTTTATCTATAGAAATTCTCTGCAATGGACTTTACTAAGTGGAGTAAAATAGAATCCCTAAATAGAAGTTGTGCTGCAGGGATATCCATAGTTAGGATGAAGGGTTTTCTGTGTAGTGTGGATCAGAGGAGAATGGAAAGATTGTGCAAGTGATTGGCATGATACAAGGTGCCAATAGGATTTACAAGTCAGAAGATCTTCACTGAAAATTGAGTAGTTCTTAGGGTAAGCATGAAGTTAAATTTGGCTTCTGATTTCTTACTTGAGATGACTAACACCAACTCTGTCAATATTCAGTATTACACATACATGTTAACCCATGAATTTTGTGTTCCATACTTGAGATCTAATTTTTATTTTCTCTAATTATGTGGCAGTGTCATAATGCAGGAATTTGAATCCTTTTTTTTTTTTTTTTTTTTTTTGTACCAGGGATTGAACTCATTAGCTCATGTTTGCCACACAGGTGTTTATGCCCCTGAGAGAAATACCCAAACATGAATGTGTTTTCTGTATATTATGGAAAGTATCAACATTCTTCTTCAGAATGTGTTGAATGTTCTTGGAATGTTACTTTATTGTATGGATATAATTTTTAAAACAAACCAATGGTGTTTTCTGCAGTCAATTTTCAAGTTTCATTTTTTGTGGGGTTTTCAGTCAATGTTTTTCTCTCTATTTCAGACAGCTCTGTAACTGAGGCTGGCCTCTAACTCAAGGCAGTTCTCTTGCATCAGCCTCCCAAGATATATTTCTTATTTCTGAGTGAAAGATGATCACTTCATGACAGTGAGCTGTAATTTGCAACTTGTGCCTTGTTTCATTGTTTATGCATTGTTTACATACACAGTTTTCCATTATTATTTGAGTTATTATTGATGTACCATATTTGATGTTATTTATGTTTTGTTATATGAAACTAAATTCAAATTTTAAAATGCTGCTTAAGTATATCAAGAACAAAGGACTCAGTGACCTAAATGAGATTTGAAGAGATATCATCTGTAGTCTATCAAAGTGTTTCACGACATATTTGCCTACCCCTTTGCTTTGTGGATGCTGGTCCTGCAGGATCCCACTGTGAGCTTTGCTTTAGAGACAGTGCACAGGGACCATTGCAGTGACTCAGCACAAAAATCAGTGCTCCCATTTGGCTGTGAGTTGCAATCTAGCATCCAAATTTTTTTTTCAAAAAATGTGTCTATACATAAAATTAATCACCAAGACATGGAATTAAGCTTTAAAGAATTCAGTCTCCATTCAGCTGTGATGTTTGGTTCTACCTTGTTTAGTTTAGTTTTGTTTTATTGAGACAGGATTTCACTATGTATATCACTGGATTTGAAACCTGTATGGTGCCTACAATTTCCTTGACTTCACAACAGCCCTCCTCTCTCAGCCTCTTGAGTCCTGGGATTATAAATATGCACCAACTCTGCTTTTGATTCAGATTTTTATGAGAGAATTTAAGATATCCCAGATCGTGAGTTTCAATCTTCCTTTGAGAAATATATGTATGAATTTTTTGGATCATACTTTTATAACTTGGCCCCTCAGCAGTTATCCCCCTAATATCCCTTGGGAAGCACATTTGTTTATGCACTGCCTATACTGAGTGTAAACGGGTGTCATGGTTTATGTTTGTGTCCCCCAGGACTCATGAGTTTGCATTGTTCATTTGTGATGGTTCATTGCATAGTGCTTGGATTGATGGTGTCAGTGCTCCACCCACATAGGGGTGGAGCCAGGATGTGATATAATGGTAGGAAGAAGGTGTGTATTTCTCTTTTTGCTGGTTTGAGCTTGCTGTTTGCAGCCTCCATGACCTGCAGTCCAGCCATGCCCACCTGTCTTGGAGCCAATTGAGTGTGGACTGAAACCTCCAAAAACTGTAAGAAATAAACCTTTCCTTTCCCAACTTGGGCATCAGGTATTTTGTCTCAGCGACGACCATAAAGTAACTAAGACACCAGGACAGTTGTCATTTTAACCAGTTGATTCTTGTATTGAACACATTACAATAGTCATTTTTATATTTGCTGTTATTTTAGAAAAACTAACAAATGTATGCAATATTTAATTATCTTTTATTTAAATAATTGCACTGGTAAGGACTTATGTATAAAGCCTTCGGCTAAGTGTGATTCTTTTAGTCCCAGCATCAGCAGAGGATGAGACGGAACAATCACAGCTTTGAAGCTGACTTTGTGAAGCAATTTTGCTAGGTGATTTAGCAGAATGTGTGGTAGGTGTTTTTATACCTGCATTTGAAGTTTAAGGAAACAGGTAAGTTTAGGTCAAGAATATAAATGTAGGATAGGATAGCTGAATCATGAAAATCATGATTTCTTTTTTTTTGGCCCAGGAAATGTGCATATCATGGTAATTTGTGCAGCAGTCTTAAATATGCCCATATTAGAGTAAAACATAGTGAAACATGAATGAGCAAGGCATTCTAGGTTCTGAAAGTAGAGGCATTATCAAAACTTTTTTACTCAATGCTATTGGTGGTGCTTTTTATAGGAAATAAGATAGGGCAACAAAACACTAAAAATGACTATATAATAATTTAATAGTTGTGCACAAATGAAGAAGCCAAAAAACAAACAAACCAAAAAAAGTCAAATATAAAGGATGAAGAAACAATCTACAGGATAGGAGAAGATTGCATGTTACTCCTTGACAGCTAACATGTAAATCCAATAGAAATGTGAAATGAATACACACTTTTCAGAACAGGTACAAATTGTCAAGAAATACCTGAAGAACTATTGAGCATTTATGCACAATAGAGAAATGCAAATCAGTACACCATGTCATTGCAGAGACAAATCACCACAAGATCAAAAGAACACTCATGAGACATCAGGAAACTATTTAACTTTGTTGGTGGAAATGTAAGCAAGTATTTCAGCCACTACTGAAGTCAGTGTTCAAAGTATTCAAATGATTAAACATAGTAAGTTCACTAAGTGCAGTGCTTCCTTTAGTGGGTCTCTTCCCCCAAGAGTTAAGGACATATTGCAGTGATTCATGCATATTCCTGTTACTGCAGCAATAGTCACTTTTCTGTGGAGAGCAGCAGCAAGCACTGCTCCATCACCACCAAATGCCAATGATGAACAACAATTACTCATCAGTGTACTCTTTTTAGTAAATGATATGATAGTTTATTATGAAATGGGCTCATGACTGCTTATTTTTGTCAAATTGATGATGTATTTGATATATTCATATTTCTGGAGGCATAGGCCTCCAAGATTGTAAAATGGGGATTGCTTATGGTAGCAGACTTTTTTCCCATGTTCATACCTCTCCTAATCCCAAAGACTTGTGAGATTCACATTCCACTAAAGTCCAATAAATTGGTCAATGATACATAAGAGACTTCTTGGGTATTTGATAAGGGTGCTTGACTAAAATGGATATTTTATGTCAAAAGAGAAATTCAGATTATTGCCAGGATGTCATAATACAATAACATGTATGGTTCTGATTTCTGATTTACTATGTAAAATATGTCACTGTTAACACTGTAGGTATTCAAATGTTAAAATATCCATGGGTAGTAGAAAATACATTTCACTTAATGTTCTAAGGTGTTTCATGTTTAGATAAAATAGTAATGTTAAGCTTACTGCCTCTAATGTATTGCATTGTGATCAATCTTTTCTTCTGGATGTCCAACAGCTAAGGTTTAGGACCAAAAATGAGAGACACAGATGGGCTAAATGGATAGCCAATATTTTGTCCACAGCACTTCAAACTTGGAGGAGACTCAGGATGTAAAAGAAATCCTGCTTTCATCATCAGAAGATAACCAGTGAGTACCTAGTATTCTGATCAGGAAGATGATGAGACCACAGAGGAAAGTGACCTTTGATGCAAGGTGTGCCTAAGGAGAGTCACGAGTCACCAGAAAAATCTCCTAAATTTTCACAGAAATCAACATGGTCAAGCAATGGCCATGACTCTTCCAGGTGGCAGACACTGACAGAAGAGATATGAGGAGCTATGCATGGTTATAAGAACTGGCCTTGATAGGAAGTAACGAACCCATTGTCCTTAGTGTAATCCTTATGTTAGCTTGATCTTGAACCTTCTGCAGCAAAGTCTGGACTTGGGAGGTACAGTGCAATTCTAAAATATTGTCTATGGGTGAATCTCATATCACTAACATCATCTGACAATTGCTGTCTATGCTGGTAACTGACTACCATTATGGACGGATGGACTGTGCAGTGGTGGGATCTCTAACACAACTTCTACATCTTCAACTGGTCACCCATCTGTGTATCAACCAAACAAAAAGGAGGGAAATGTTGGAGCCATTGAAGCTGAATACTCATTCAGCGCTGTGATGTGGCACAGGCATGATTGAACCGAGAATAAAGAGACGCCTCAAGTCACAAGATAGGCCACAGCTGAGGCCACCTAGACACTTTCTGTGGGATAGCTCTCTGCAGTTACCATCGTCTGTTGCTTGCAGTAGGTCTTGAACCTCTCCCAAGATCCTGTTCAGGTTTCCTCACTTGTCCACTCAACTCCTGCCTGCATGAGGTTGGCCAGCTGTCTAGCAGAGTGATGAGCTCTGCCAAGGATCTCTCTCCTCCTGCAGCCCTGAAGACCATGCTGTGTTTCTCATTTCTTAGAGCCTTTTTGGTACACCTTTTTGGCATCTTGGTTTCTAGGAAAAGACCCCAACATGAAACATAAAATGTACCTGTTTTAAAGACTCAGCACTGACATCTGGTATTGTTGGATGATGACAGGAACAAGTATCAAACCTGTTTAAGACAATTCACGTACACAAAAGCTGTTATATTGCACTGTATTTTTTTGGTTCACCAATGCCAAATCCTCTTACATGACACAACTTTCCTCAAGACAATTATTTCGACTCCAATCAATGACCTACATATGAATTATTTTCTGTAGGACACACACACAGATATGCAGGTTTTATGATATGTCTCCACCAAGTCATCCTGAAGAAAAAAATAACAATCCAGAGCCATCCCAGGCCTGAGAAGAGAAATAGAAAGCTAATATGCCCTTGTTATGAGCTGGTGGATGTCATATGGGGCAACTAGCCAATGTGCCGATGTTGTGATTCTGTGGAAGCTATTCGGGTTCTCTGAAGAAAAACAAGACAGTAACTTGCACTTCCTGTGAGCTAGCCATTGCATTGGCTGGGAGATGAGCACCACAGTCACCTCCTCGCACCATCAACAGTCTGACTGGTTTAGAGCACATGCTGAGTTGATAGCAATGGAGGTATAAAAAAACTTAATCCTTGTATTACTTGATTGGCTTTGCAGCCTAAAGGCTAGTATTCTTAAGCATGAATTTAAATTGGGAAATAATGGTAAAAGAAGTTGCAAAAACTGCATATCTATATGGAAATTAAATAACACTCTTCTAGACAACCAACGGTTGGCAGATTAAGTAAAGGAAGAAACTTAAAAATATCTACAAACTAACAAGTACATAGATGCAAAATCCTGTATCTTATGGAATTCAATGAAAGAAATCCAAATAGTTAAATTTATAGTAGTCAAACCTCACATCAGGGAATAGAAAGAACACAAACAAATAATGTAATGTTGTATCTCATTCTTCCAGAAAAGAATGGCAAGACAAACACAAATCCCATACAAGGGAGGAAATTATAAGACCAGACAAGAAATTCATGCAATGCAGAACAAGAAAACAATACAAATAATTAATGAATCAAAGAGGTGGTTCACTGAATGAATAAACAAAATTTATAAACCCTTGGACAACCATATCATAAAAGAAAAAAATAAAGACTGAAAACCATGCACTAAGGAATCAGAAGAATAAAACAATTACAGATCCTGTGAAAATTCAGAAGATCATCAATATCTACTTGAAAAGCTTATACTTTCATAGGTTAGAAAATATAGAAATGTACTGATTCCTAGAAATATATGAAATGCCAAATCTGATCCAAGAAGATATAAAAATTCTAGAAAATATAGTATCAGTAAATGAGAATGAAGATATAATTAAAAATTTATCAGCTGCTGGGCATGGTGGTGCCGAACTTGGGAGGCTGAGGTACAAGGATTGTTGTGAGTTCAAGAATAAACAATGCTACAAAATGAGCTCAAGGCCAACCTGAACTGAATAATGAGAGCCTATCTCATGAGCACATTAAAAAAAAGAAAAACAATGACAACAGAAAAGCAAATGACCAACATAAAAAAAGTCTAGGTCCTGATGGATTTACTGTTTAATTCTACAATAAATGTAGAAAAAAATTTAAGGCCACTGCTGTTTCTTTCTTTTTTTTTTTTTTTTTTTTATCGGTACCAGGGATCAAACTCAGGGACTGCCTGCTTGCAAGGCAGGCGCTTATGCTGCTGAGCTAAATCCCCAGCCCCTGGCCACTGCTGTTTAATGACATTGAAAGAGAAGCTGTTCTCCCTAACTCATTCCTGGAGGCAAGTATTACCCTCATACTAACACCAGAGAAAGACCCAACCAGAAAAGATAAACTATAGAACAGTTTTCCTAATGTACAAGATGCAAAAATCCTTAACAATATACTAGCAAAGTGAATGTAGCAAATCATCAAGAAGATTTTAAAACCTGATCAATTTCGATTCATCCTAGGAAGTCAGGGATGTTTCAGTACATGCAAATCAACAAATTTAAATGTCATATCAACACAGTCAAAAACAAAAGTCACATGGTGATCATCTCAATAAATGTACAATAAGCTTCTTATAAAATCAAGCACTGATTTGTGATAAAAACCCTACAGTAAATAATGACAGATGACCTTTACCTCAAGCTGATAAAATCAAACAATGACATGGCTGGGGATTTAGCTCAGTGGCATAAGCATCTGCCTTGCAATTGTGTGGTCATGAGTTTGATCACCTGTACTGATTAAAAAAAAAGACAAAAAAAATCAAACAATGAGAAAAAAATTCCAGCATCATACTAAATAGAGAATAACTGACAACTTTCATTTTACAGTTATGAAAAGGACATGGATCACTACTATGACCATTCCCATTCAATATAGCTCTGGAAACATTAGGCAGACCAATTAGACAAAAGAGAGAAATAAGAATAAATAATTAATAGAAAGTAATTAAACTATCATTATTCACAGATGATATGATATTCTAAATAGAAGATACCAAAGACTCCACCAAAACAGTCCTAGAATTAATAACCAAATTCAATAATGTAGCAGGGGACATAGTTGACAATCAAAAATCAATAGCATTCCTGTACACAATCAACAAACTCACAAGAGAGAAGTTACAGAAACCACAGCCTTTACAATAGCCTCCCAGAAAACAAAATACTTGGAAAGAACCTAACGAAGAAAGTAAAGGACTTACATATTGAAAATTATAGTACTTTGGAAAAGGATATTGAAGAGATTATCATAAATAGAAAGATATTAGTGACCCATTCTGTGCATTGTCTTTTCACTCTGTTAGTGATTTCTTTTGATGTAGAAATATTTTTAATAAGATGGAGTCCCAGTGGTTGATTCTTTAAAATTTGTATTTTGTTCATGAAGCCTCATTAGTGTTTTTGTTTTAATATTTAGATCTAATCTAGTTTGACTTTTGTTTGTTTCATAGTGATAGACTTGTCTCCAGTTTAAGTCTTCAGTATGAGAAAAGTCATTTTCTTCAGCACCATTTATTGAAGAGGCTATCTCTCTTCCAGTGAACATGTTTGGCTCCTTTGTCAAACACAAAGTAGCAGAGTGTGTTTGTAGTTCTATTTGCATCTTCTAGTCTTTTTGGTTGATTCTCAGGTCTGTTTTTCTGCCATAACTATGCTGATTTTCTAATAGTAGCTTTCTAGTATAATAGCAAGTCAGGAATTGTGATGCTTCCAGACTTGCCTTTGTTGCCCAGCAATGTCTTTGGTGATCTAGAGCATTTCTGTTTCCAGATGAATTTTAGAAATGTTTTCTCTACATTTGTAAGCTATCCTACTGATATTTTGGTGGGCAATGCATTACATCTATATGACAGTTTGCAATAAGATTTTTTGAGTTTTCTCCATATCCTTGAAGGTAGTTTTACTGGTCTCTTATACTCACCAGATGAAACATAATAGGTATGATCTTAAGAGTTTCAAACTTTTGAGTTCTTCTTCCAAGGATATCCACAATAATATGATATTTTTTCTGTTTCTTTGAGACATGTTTTCCCCATGCAGTTCAGGTTGACTGCGGATTCACGTCTTAGTCCAGTTAATTCACACTGATTATCCTACTTCAGCCTCCCAAGTTCTGGGATTACAGGTGTGCACATAAAACTTGAAAGAATTCCTGGTGTTATTTGAAACCTGAAAAAACAGTCATGAGATACACATGTATTTATTAACTGCCATTCCCTTAAAGGAAATTGTAAAGTATAACACATAACATCATTGGAGGGTAGGGAATCAGAAGATGTGTTTCTATCTCTTATGAGCCTGGGATGCCAGGATAGACTACTGCAGAAACAGGAAATGTCACGGGTAGGAATATGCATCAAATGTGAGCATTAGTATTAAGAATTCAGAGAGTATTGTATTTAAGGATGATGAGGAAAGGACAGTGGAAAGCAATGAGAGTCCTGGTGAGCTTCGTTTGTCCTGACTATAGATCATGCTTTACTATAAGGATGAACATCATAAACAGTGAAATATTCAAACATTATGTGCTTTTGACCCTAGAAAATATAGAGGCTTGGCACTGTAGCTCAGCTGTATTATAGCCTGGCATAACAGATGCCATCTTGCACCATGCATTTATCTAGTGCCCTGTATTTGATCTAAAAAAATGAAAAATCACCAGGGTATAAGTTCCATGAGAAAAGCAAAAGGAGCTGTACCCAAGTAAAAAAGGAGCTGTACCCAAGTAAAAAAACCTGCTAAAAAAAGAAGCATGATACGGTGTCATTAAAAAATTAATTTAAGATTCTAGCTAAATTGTTTCCAACAGGATGTCTTCTGTGATTCTCTCTTTTAAAAATGCTGAACTTTCCAGTTCAGAGCCAATTGTTTAGATTCTGAAATGGGGAAGGGGGTCTGTATAAAAGTGGTTTTGAGCTCAAATATTTAAATTCCAAATTTATCCTCTGGATGTTTTGATTCCTATACTGTTGTTCACAAACTCACCTCAAGATGCAGAAAGATTATTGACAGAAGCAAACCTCTGGATTAAATGTCAGTGCCCCTGAAATGGAAGAATAATGCTGAAAAGGAGGGAAGAAAATGACAAACCCCATGTGTTATGATGCCCACCTCTTTTCCACAGCATTAAAGAGGCTGAAACAGGAGAATGGCCATTTATTCAAGGACAGTCTAAATTATGCAGTGAGTGAAAGGCCAGCCAGAACTACAAAGTGAGACTACATCTTTAAAAACAAAACAAAAAAATGAAAAAAGTAAAAAACCAAGGGAGAGAGAAAGATTATTAAAGGAAAACAAAAATAATAGAGCTGAATGAAAGCTGACCTAAATTGGCAATTATGGAATGATGTTGCAGCAGACAGCTGGCCATGTAGTGGCATCCTGGCAGCTGTGACAAATACAGAGTTAGGAATGGTACCTATTTTGCTATAGCACAACAGTGACCTCCTTCTTCCAATAAATCTGCAATTTGCTAGAATGAAGAGAATGAAAAACTCATCGAAATCTTAAACTCAGAGCAAGCACGTAGCTTCATGCAAAGGCTTTGGAACACTGCTTTGACCACTAAGCTCAAAACCCAGCCCAAGATCTTCAGATTCTATATATCACTATTACCAATGTTTAATTTATCATTGACATATTTAATTAAAACTCTTCTTAATCTACATGTTCACAAATGAAGCTATTTTCTTTCATTGCAGTTTAAAACACTGTTTTTTTTTTAGGTACAGGGGATCAAGCTCACAACTTAGCACTTCCCAGGCAGGTGCTTCTGCCTGCTGAGCTAAACCCGTGGCCTCTATTGAATAATATTTTATTAAATGTATAAGCATCATGTTATCCAGTCAAATGGTATTATGATTTTACTATAGGAAGTGAAAGTAGAGAAAAATTGATATACAGTCAGAGAGGAATTGGAACCTCAAAGGAGTCAACATAAAAAACTAAACACAACAATCCCTCTACTGGCTCAGCTGAAGAAATCCAGACATAAATGTGAAGATGCAGTGACCATGTCTACATGCCTCCTGAAGAGAAAAACAATAGCTTGAAATGTACTACAGTTACCACCACCTCCTCCAGGAAATCCAGAGAGGCATCAATTACCATACTCAATGACCAGAACAACTGGACTGTTGTTCCCCCAAAATGCCTTTGCTCTTTCAACATACTTTGTCTGGGTGACTTCTTCCCAGGTTAAATAATATTAGTTAAGCCACTCACTACAAGCTTATAGATTGATTGTAGTTTGGGACTCACACTGTAGCCACATTGTGACTTTGCTGCATAAATGACCCCTGACAATAGGTCTGTGACTTAAACACTGAAGACCACTCCTGAAAATCCAGGTCTATTCTTCCTCTTTTTTCCCAGAAAATTTTTGAACTTCTTTTGGTGTGTGACTTCATTCCTTAATGTTGTGAGCCAACAAACTTGGTGCATTTGACATGAAACAGGGCAAGATTATATTTGTCCTATTTCCATTTGAATATAAAACTTCTTCTAAGTGTTCCAAACCCTTTGCATGAAGCTACTTGCTTGATCTGCATTTTTAAAGACATATTTTGTCTTGAAGCCTGGCCCATAACAAGAGGTTTCTGTCCCCCCCCCCCCCCCGTATATGCAAGGTGTCTGGGCTTCTACACTGGCCACTTCTAGGACCTGATCCTGTCTCCCTGGCTATATATTTCTAACTAACTCGGCTACCTGTAACAACAGGGCTGGGCCCTCAATGGAGCCAGAAAATAAGTTCAGATTGCTTGTAGCATTGGAAGAGACAATCACCTTCTGCTGTGGGCTAAATCTCAAAACAAAAGGCAAGGTAATACAACCAAGTGGTAAGAACCAACAGTCCAAATAGTTCTCTGATCACCATGAGGAACTCAAGAGTCACCATCCCAACCCCCTACCAGAAGTGTCCCTTCTTTTAAACAGGCCCACTTAGTATGTGAGTTTCTCTCCTATTTGCTCCCAATTTAATCAATTTTACCTGAGCAATTAACCTTATTGGTTGACCACAGTCTTATCCCGCCTTATGCTAATCTTGAAAATTCCTATTTTTCCCCTTCTGTGACCCATCTGACCTCATGGTTTAACTCTGTACAAGCTCCTCAAAAGGACAGAGTCTTGGCAACTCACTCAGGACCCCTTCTGTCTCTCAGAAGCTTTCCTTCTCCCAATAAATATGTTCCATTCTTAAACTCCATCATTCCTAAAATTCATTTTTTAAATTTAGAGAACACAAACTCATACCGGACGTATAGTAGGTAAGGAGTTTCATTACCCTATACCATTAACATGAGCCAAATTAACATGACTATACTATATAAGGTCTGAAATTTGCTTCTTCTCCTGCAGTTTTAAGTGATTAATACAAATCACAGTGATTGTAGTCCTAGCAATATCTAAAGTTGTATATATCAGTCATTATAAATGTTAAATAATTGGTTTGAGTGTATTATTTAGCAAGAACTAGACATTGCCATTGCAGTAGGTTATATCTTATTAAAGAAAAGATTTAACTATAATTGTTCAGAAAAGTTTCTACATTATTGGCTGCTTGAACAATTTTTCATTAGAAAAACTGTGTATTTTTGTCAGTTTCTAGAAGGCTTCTATTATATTATTGAAAGCTGTCTTTAGGTCTCTTGGACCTTGGCTGTATTTTGATGCATATTTGTGTTTTGAAATTTATATGAAGATTTATTTTTATCTTAGGATTAAACTTACTGGATTGACACTAATAGAGTGAAACAACAGCCCACTGCATTAATTTCCATTGGGTTCTCGTGGCATTTAATATGAGAATGACTGAAGAGCTAAATTAGCTTCATACATAAACAAGAATCAGTACTGTTACTGAAAGAGTTTTTGGCCAAGACAGGACACTGTAGCCAGTGAGGCAGAACCAAGGAGCTCCTATCTCCCCCACCCCTAGGAATTTACCTGTGACTCAAATTTCCCTGCACCTAAGAATTTACCTATGATGCCAAACAAAGACCAATGGACTACTTGTGCATCCCTAATGCCCCCTCAGGGTCCACCCCAAACCTAGGTTGCTTAGGCATGCCCCCATGCCACAAGTCCATGAGAGAGAAAGCCAGACTCCAGTGGTCAGGGAGTTTTTGTTTTCTCTCTTCGCATTCTCAGAATAAAGGGCCCTTTTGTTTTAAACTTCTCATCTGTTGGACGTACTATATAATCTTATCAGTTAGGATTTTGTGGCTGAATACAGAAGCAGAATATAAGAAAAATTTAAATTGTCCTTTCTATTTAAAGAATGTGGAGGGGAGCCTACAGCCACCAAGGGTTTGCCTTTTTTTCTGACTGATTATGGGATTATGGAGTGCATATGAAATTTTGCTCTATCTGGTGCCCGGCACTGACATTGATGTCATGCAAGGAGCTGATAGGAATTTTCTTTGGGCCCCTGGGAAAGGAATGAGGAGGTTGCATTCAGGGAAAAAAAGAGGAAGTAGCCATATAGGTAAGCATGGCTGATTTGAACTTTAACCCTGATGAACTACCACCATGAGTCCTGTAATTTATTCTAGGGCAAAACTCTTTCAAGTACATCCTTCAGTTTGAATTACAAAATGAAAATAAAGAATTTTTGCTATGTGTCTTCTTCTACAGTTAGTGGTAAACAATTCACAAGAAAAGTTTTTAGTCATTTCCTTAATACATTGTACAAGTAAATAAAACTACAGATCAGTTCACTTTCAGCAAACAGAAGCAGCACTCAAAGGCAAGGATAAAGCCCTTCAGTGCAAGTGTCCCTTAAAAGGTGAGATCAACTTTTAAGAATACAACCATCTACTGATTTCTCTGACTTCAAGAAAAAGAAAAAATCATAGTGGTATTGCTATAGGGGAATGAAACTCCCGGGCTACTATGCTGGTATCAGTTTGTGTTCTCTGAAGTCCAAAAAGGAATTTTAGGAACAACAAAAGTCAAGTTAATATACTTATTTGGAGAAAGACAGCTGTAGTAGAGAACGAATTCATCCTGAGTGGGTTGGCAAAGACTGTCTTTTCCAAGGACTTTTACAGAGTAAAATCACGTGGTGAGATGGGTTTAAGTTGGAGAAAACTGGGAACTCAAAATGCAGATGGGCATAAGATGGGACAGATCTATGGTTGTCAATAAGATAAATAGTCCAGGTAAAGTTAATTAAATTGGGAACAAATGGGGAAGGGCGTCACATAGAAAGCAGGCATTCTTAGGCAGCAGTGAATCTTCCCTTAGGAGGTTGGGAGGGTGACTCTTGATAAGAACTAATTACAATATCAGTCTTTAGGATATGGAGACATTTATTTGAATGGTGACTCCTGACTTCCTCAGAGTGCTAGGGAACTAGTTAGAATATCATTCCTTAGAGTATGGATGAATTTGTTGATTTTCTGTCTTGAGGCTTGGCCCATCCCAGGAGCTGTCTATTGTTGTAATCTAGTTCTAACCAATGGACCGACCCCATTTCTGTTCTGTATGCCCCATTTCAATAGAGATTAAAATTCCATCTACAGTAAAGACTTAAATTTCATCTCCTTGTAAATCCCCCTCCCCTCCCTATTCTTTTTAGATTAAGTAAACTTTAAGTTTCACTTTCTTGTAATCCCCCCAACCCCCTTCAGCCTATCTGCAATACAATGTGCTGTCTTTTAGAAAAGTTTAACTACAAGGAAGTTATCAAACTGGGTCCAAGTTTGCAACATTCCTGTGGTTTGTGGCTTTAAAACCCAACCTTTTTAGCTGTAAGGCTGGCAGTCTCCAAATTGGCTCCTGGAGATCGCATTGCCAGGCCTGGCCTAAAATAAAGCCTTTGCTCCCAAAATTTTAATTTCTTGCTTCCTTGGGTTTTATTCCAGGGTCCAAACTATCACATCCATCTTATCCATAGGTGCAAGGTATCTGGGTTTCTGCATGAGCTCCTTGGAGGACCTAGCTCTGTCTCACTGCCAATAGTATTTAACTAACTCAGCTTCCCATAACAGTATTTTTCTGAAAATTGAATACAGATGTCTTGTGCTCTGGGTGAATGAT